GTATGAGTGGGAGCCAACGGCCTTCAATCTGTATAGAGAGGAGAGAGACAAGTAAATAAAACTGGAGTTCAATCTACAGCAGATGTACTATCTCTGTTGAACTGCTAACTTACATTTTGAAATGTTGTCTATTAGAAGGGTTTACTTATGTTGGATTGTAGTATTGATTGCCGCTTTGAAAATGACCTTTTTGTAGAGTATAGCGAGTGCTGCAGACGAAATGCCTACGTTGGTAACAGTTTGATCATTACTCGCATACTAGCATGAACGCATTTACGAAACCTCAGATATCAAAATGAACAACATTAGGTAAATTTAGTATTTAAAAGAAGTATAAGAAGTACTAAGTGTTTACAAAGAAAAAAAGTGATAATCCCCAACTTCCAGAGACGTCAATAGCTATAAATAGGAACAATAAATTTAGATACTTTTTTAATTTCAATACATTACTTAACCACTTTATATAAATATATATTTTCCTTGGTCAAAATATTTTAAACAAACTGTTATCCCACAAGAGGCAAAATATATTTGGTCGCACGAGCCGGCGTTTGTCCAAACATATTCCAGCATGGTTAGGAAAGCGTCAGAGGGTATAAACAGTTCCACTGTAGCGCACCTGGTAGACTCAGACCATCGCGTGAATGCAAAAGAGGCCTTCCGAGTGATCTACAAGGTACCCTGAGACTACTCAAAATTCCTTGGACAGCTACGGCAGAAGTGGCCACCATCAGGCTACGCCGATCGGTCCCGTGCACCCAAAAGAACCTCGTCGCGACGCCGCAGTTATCATGGCCAAAAGCTGCTAATCCAACAGCCAGGAGCTTATCACCTCGCTCGACTACAAGTCCTGCTTTACGCTAATCAGATTTTTGACCCCGATTTCCCCCCCCCCGCACCTGCCTTGACAACCGCACTAATTTTTCTACCAACCCGCGTACATTATTTACTTTATTACCATATAAATGTAAAGGCCTGACAAGAATTTACCGAAAACAAAAATATGTCCGCTGATGTATTTTTTAAAAATTCCAATGGGAATTTTCGTAATTTTGGCGAAATCCGCAGTAGCCTAATATCGAAAACATTTCCTGTGCTATTAGGTATAGCAGAAGTAGTTTTTTTTATAAATATGCACAATGCTATGGGAAAACCCCAAAATAAGAAGAGGTTACATGGTAGGGCAGGGTAGTTTTAAAAAAACTTGTTAAAATCTCCACTTTTATTTTGACATTACCTTTGGAAAAAGTAACATACACATAAATTTGTCAGCTGCATATTAAATTAAAGCGCTTTTCAAAGAAAGTATTTTTAATTAGTCCTAGGAATAAAAATGTCAGACTTCTGTTTTGAAGGTTTTTTTTTACTCGACAATGTACTTTGTTGTTTTGAGGCATCTCTAAATATGGCGCACATGGTCATCTTCATAACAAGTAATATCCAAAAAAATCATTCTTCCGGTAGATGCTTTTAAAAGATAGCTTATTTTAAAGGTTTCGATATTAACGTATTAATGGACGGAAACGAGACAGCGTTGTAAATGCCCAAAAATTGATCGGCATTTAATGGTATATCTGTAAGAAATTGTAGTTAATAGACGGCAAATTGTTCAAAATATCTTGACTATGAAAAATATTTTTTATTTAGAGAAAGTAGTTAGGTTATGCATTCAATGTATAAGAAAATATAGATTTATTGTTTCAATTTATAGCTAATGTTATTACTACTACACCTTCAGTAGGTGTTCTATCTCATAAAAGTCTGAAACGTGGCTTTGTTTCGAAAAGCTTACTTAGATAGCGTTGTTATGTGAACTTTCGTGTAGCACAATTTACTTATATTTCTAGCCGAATTTTGAACGAGCTTCTTTCGACTGCTGCAGAAAAGATGCCGTAAAAATTATCTACCGTATTTTCCACCCTGTAGGGCGAATGGGAATTCAGGGCGTTTTGTTAATGAATGGTTTAATTCTTGACCTTTTCCTTAAATAAGGTTAGCCTAACTATAAGTTGCAGTAACGTAAACAAAACAGTCAGATACAGTATTGCGAGTGCTGCAAGAAACTTTCAACACGAAATTTAACTTGGTAGTTTAGCATATATATTGCCAGGTTATTTTGATCAACTGAGTGGATTTAATAATTAGAAGGGCTTTAGTTTAGAAAACTGCCCTATTACTTAAAATTACGGAGCAAAATAGACGCTAATTTTGGCTAAATCATGAGTAAGCTTATAACGAGGAAATGCCCAATGCTATAAGGTATGATATAACCAAACTTTTTATTAAATATGCATTACGCTATGGACGAACTCCAGAATAAGTAGAAAAAATTGAAAAAAATGATACATTCCAGAACTGGAAAATTTTGTGCGAAGTTAATCAAATAGAAGTGAAGCCAAGTTTAAGGAATCGCATTTGCTTGAAGAAACAATTGAGATTTATATTTTAAAAATTATTTTTAGCTATCCTGTGAAGTTTTTTTTGCACAAAATGCAATAACAAAAAAGTTTTGGTCAGAAATTTTGTTTTACCGCGCAGCTGTCCTTGCGCATAAGCATAAGCATATGGTACCGCGAAGGTAATCTAAAGAAGGTCTTATTGAATGTAAGTCATGCAGAAATATACTTTTTTTGTAAACTATACATTTCGCTTAGGCGTTATTTTAAAACGGAACAGACAGAAGAATAATAAGTATTTCAAAAAATGGCCATATATATGGCCAGTTTATTTTGCATTCGCAAGCTAACAACAGATTGTGGAATTAATCTACTTATGCGGAAAACAATCCATTATAAAACGAAAAGTAAGTTCTTTCATCTCCAGTCAAATTGAATCGTTTATCTTCAGGTAAATTTTCAAAAGTCTGAATTTTCCTTGTGACGTTACCTTCGAAAAACTTCATATACACAGAAATTCGTCAGCCGAACATCTAACCAAAGCATTTCTCAAAGAGGTAACCTTTTTATGGAAAGTTTCTTTGTTAATACATATTAGGAATAACAATATCAGAATTCCGTTGCGGACATGATTAATTCTCGACGTGATTTGCTGTTTTGAGGCATTTCTACATATGAGCAACATCACTATAAGAACTAATATCCAAAAACTCTTTCGGTAAATGTTTTATATATATATATATCTTATTTTAAGGGTATTGGTGTAAACGTCGAGCAGAAGCGCAATTTATCAATGAAGACACTGAAAACAAACGAAATAATAACAGACTTTATTCGACGATATTTAATAAATAGTTATGCACTAATGGTAATATGTACAAAATATTTTGACTTAAGAAACTTTCTTTTTATATAAAGAAATTGGTTCCATTCAGTTTTCAACTTAATAAAATATTTAAATTTATTGTTCTAATTTTTAGCTATTTTTTTACATCTCCGGAAGTTGGGCATTTTCGAAAAAATTTTCATTTTTCTTAACAAACACTTAGTACTTCTTATAGTTCTTTTAAGTCTAAGGCTGCTCATTATTATTTCTAAGTTTTCGTAAATGCGTCCTCGCTGGTATGGGAGAAATAATCAAACTTTTACAAACTTAGGCAAATTTCTAGCAGCGCTCGCCATTCTGTAAGTCAGTCAGTCAAGCTCTTAATGGCCGCATTCAGAATAACTCTCGACATGATTCAAACATTAATAAGGGTGTTCACAATAAAACAACGTCAGCGTTTTCACTGCCTATTCTACTTGCTGTTGTCTGCTCAATAACACACACTTTGCTTAGTCTTCTTGCTTCCTCTACTTACGTACCATGGATTCATTTATGTTGAATTCCCTCGCAGCTGTTCTATTACAGTGTTTTATTGAGCTTGAGGTCTGCCTCGTAGGCGTGTATTTTGACAACTGCCATTTTGGGATCTATACACACACTATAATATTATGGTGAAACACGCTATATAGTACTCCGCAACACGCCTGACTACGAAGTAACGTAGTGCTGTGTACCACACAAAGTTAATTCAAAATCAGTAACCAAAATTAATCGATTTATAAGGCGCACTGTCGTTTTTTAAAAAAATATTAATGGCTTTTAAGTGCGCCTTATAGTCGAGAAAATAGGGAACCCAGGTAGTCTGTATTTTTCTTACGTATTTTCAATAACTTAATGAATTCTAAAAATTTGAGTTGACCCAATTGTGAAAAAACTCGAGGCGTTTGGCGGGATT